TCATGCTGGGCCGTCTTTGGACGGTCCCAAGGCCCAGTGATGGCCCCAGGGGTCCCGAAGTCTGACCTCGCGTAAGAGTTTGAGTGCAGTCGGACCGAGGTGTAAGATCGAGGTCGCTTCGGGGAGGGTGCCCAACTGTTCTTCGTGTTTGTTGGATATTCTTATACATCCTGGGGGAGGTCGAATGATATTAGGGCTTGGGTTGCTTTTGCCAGCCAGGGGTCTCATGTTCGTGCGGGATGTTCTTCTGGTATAGGTCCGACTGTAGATGCTCGACTACAGAAGTGATTTACCCTAGAAATGGCTTGTCCGTGGGATCAGCGGAAAATGCGTGTAATGTTCCGTATCTCAACGAACCCTCTACGCATGTGTTCGTACGTTCCACGGAAAAGCAATTTTGGGGTACCTCGATTCTACAGTCGACCCCCTGCTCGAGGAGTGGCCCTTCGCTGGAGCGAGACTTGGTGGGCGGCTCTCGAGGGGGCGCGGTGCAGTGGGGGCCCATGCCAAGAAACACCCTGCTTGCCTCCAGGGTGCCCTGGGATTCTCGGGTTTCGATGGTCTTGCCTTGGAGAGCGTGAGGTTCCCACAGCAAGAATCAGGGGACGTCTTGGGGTCTCGGGGTTGGGCCTCTTGTGGGGGGTTTCTTGTGGGCCGGCCTCCACTGCACGATGGGAGAAGGAGGAGGAGGAGGAGGAGGAGGAGGAGGAGGAGGAGGAGGAGGAGGCGGAGGAGGAGGAGGAGGAGGAGGAGGAGGAGGAGGAGGCGGAGGGGCGAGGAGGAGTAGGCGGAGGAGGAGGAGGAGGCGGAGGAGGAGGAGGAGGAGGAGGAGGAGGAGGAGGAGGAGGTGCCTTAATTCGCTCCCGGTGCACCCGCCCGCTTGCTCGACTGGCGTCTGACTGTCTTGGACCCCTTGGCTCGGGAGCCTTGAGAGGGTGGTCAATGCAAACGGAGATCAGCCAGGGCGCCGGATCTTGCAGGATCCTGCAGACCCAGGGGTGCATTGACGCAGGCTTGCGCGCAGGATCCTGCAGGACCCTGCAGGATCTTGCATGGTCCTACAAGGCATGACCGGCGCGGGTTGGCGTTGACCTGGGTCAGCAGATCCCCGATTGGCGCCCGCGAAGCTACGTACAAGTGGCAGCCTTGCCTATAGTGTCGCTCTCGGGTGCAGCAGAGAAGCCGGTGAAAAACGTCCAGGATCCGGCGCGTGGTCATGGGAGGTGACCTCGAGGGTGGGCGGAGAACAGGGCCCCTCCCGGGCCCTTCTCTTCGGCCCCCCTCTCGGCCACCCGCACTGCCACCCGCGGGAGCCCTCCAGCAGCCGCTCTCCCTTCGTGCTGGAAGGACCACTTTGCAAGCTGCGGCACCGTGCTCCACTCCGAGACCACGCCGATCATACCGGGGCAGGAGTTCACCGGCGAGGTGCGATTCGAGGACCCGCAGCACGCGCAGCTGGCGCTGAAAACGCTGAACGGCAGCAGGATCGGGGCTTCCCAGATCTTCATCTCGCTCGACCAGAATTCCACGGACAAGACCAAGCTGGTCGTCACGGGCCTCAGCCCGGGCACCGAGTGGAAGGAGCTCAAGGACCACTTTGCCTCCATGGGCACCGTCGCGCACGCCGACGTCCACAAATCGAAGAACGGCGGCAAGGGCAAGGGCTGGAACTCGTGGGGCGCCAAGGGCGGCGCCAAGGTCGGGGCGGCCCGAAGGGGGCCAGAGTGGAGGGTGTGGAAGGATTGTTTCGCGTTTTTCGGGTTCCTTTGCGATGCGGCAAATCCGTTTTTGTTCCTCCTCTCGCAGGCGATTTCGCGTCTCCGCGAGTTCCTTTCGGAAAAGTAAGCCTTCAGAAAACAGGGGTGACTCGGGATAATCTTCTCTGAGGGGTTATTCAACGCACCCTTATTGAGGATGGACGCCCCCCCCGTCCTTGATCCCCGAGTTTGACCAACATGTATTGGGCCCTTCGACGTCGCCGATGCGTCGGCGGAGCATCAGCAATGCGGTGCTGTATGGTCCTTCGACCCCATCTGCTCACGGAGGTCCCCAGAGGGCTCGGGACCCCCCCCCTTTCTCCTAAGGTGCCCGGGTGGGTCCCACCAGAGGCCTCCGAGAAGCGCCTTTGGGCCTGCCAAAAGCCGAGAACGTCCAAAACCTTTTCGGGGCGGCCGCGACGAAGACGACGGCCGCGACGACGACAGCCGCGACGACGGCGGCTACAACGACAGCGGGCGGCGGCGGCAACGTCAGCGGCAACGGCGTCGAGGTCGCGCCGAAGGGCGCACATGGCTGGGATGCACGGGGGACGGCGGCGACGACGGCAGCGCCGACGACGACGACGACTCCTCGAATGGCGTCCAGGGCTGGGCCCCGTGGGGCGGCATGGGCGCCATGGGCGGCATGGGCGCCATGGGCGCCACGGGCGGCATGGGCGGCATGGGCGGCAAGGCAGGGTTTGGTGCCAAGGGGTGCGCTGGCGGCGCCGGCGGAGGCGGAGGCCCTGGGGCAGCGAACGCAGAGAGTGCCCGTCCTGTGAGGTGTGGCCCGTCCTCCATCCTTTTTCGTCTTCGTCCTCCTTCCCGCCTCTCCCTCCGCCTCCATGCCTCCTCCTTGCGAGCAGGTCCTCCCTGTCGCACCCCTCAGACGTGTCCGCAGGGCGGGCCCGGGAGTTTCGCCGGAGACTTCCTCACCATCTGTGGCCCCTACAGGGTCTGTGAAACATGCAGCAGCTTGGGGGCCGTGGGTCTGTACCCCCACGTGAAGATGCCAGGGGGTCCTGCCCCTCCTCCCCTCCTTGTGCCTTCCTCCCCCCGAACGTGTGGTTGCGAGATTCTATGTGCTAGGGTTTTGCTGGCGTCTGGAGTCAAACTTGTGTACAGTTCGTTGCGCTGCAATGAAAAGCGCTTCAAAGATGTAGGACTGAGGGTTTTCAACATGTGGCTCTCGCTTTAGCGCCGCGCACACGTGTCAAACAACATGCAGAGTGGTCTGTGGAGAGTGTGACAAGCGGGGCGTAATCGCGAAGGGAGTAGCCGATGCGGCGAAACGGTTGAAACGAAAGTTGACGTTCGCAGCGTGCGAGAAATAGTTTCCGCGGCAGGATCACATAAGCGACAGATAGGAGAGTGATCACTACAAGAGGAAGAGCAAATTTGCTTTCAAAGCCCTCGGGCTCACGGTGCGGAGTTGGCAAGCGTACGAGTGTTTCGGCCCTTGCAAGAGGAAGCCTCCGAAATCTTAGTGCGTCGTTGGCCCGCATTTCGTGCGTTCCCACCAGAAAGGCACCCTGTAGTGCAAGTTGTGTGCGTGAGACCCGCTGACGCGCTTGTTGCAGCGCGCGAGTGCCCGGGGGCCCAGAGGGGAACAGGATGAGGAGGAGGAGGGGGACGTGGGGGTGGAGGAGGAGGAGGAGGAAGAGGGCGAGGAGGAGGAGGAAAGATCAGGATCTGGTCTTGGGGCCTTCACTCAAGTCTCCAGTGACAGAACGGGGCGATTCCGGCACCCCTGGAACGTATGTTGTCACCCTGGATTTGGAAACGTTGCGCGGGCCCATGGACCGTGAAATCTTGGCCTTCGGTCCATCCCGGCATCGTTTTCGGTCCGAGTGTCAGGGATGCTTCGTGGGATTTCTTTGGGTTTCTCTCGGTGATTATGGCAGGGGCAGTGTCAGACTCCCGAGGTTTTTTCCCCATATCCTAAGATGGGGTTCTTGTCAATTCCCATATCCAGAGGATGAGGATCTTGTTATTACTCCGACCGCTCCGAGCTCACTTCTCCTCCTCCTCCTCCTCCTCTTCCTCCCCATGCCATGTTATGGTATGTTGTAGTATCTTATGGTATGCTATGACATGCTATGCTATGTTATGATATGGTACGGTACGGTGTGTCATACTATGGCACGTTATGGTTTACGTTGTGGTATGCCTTGTTCTGTTTCGATATGTTATGATGTGGTGTGATATGTTATGGTGTGGGCTATAGGTTATGCTATGCTATGACATGTCATGCCATGGTTTACTATGGAATGCTGTTGTGTGATGATGTGCCATGTCGTTGTATGTTGTGGTATGCTCGGTTGCGGTGGTGGTGATGATGATGATGTTGATGATGCTGATGATGATGGTGATGCTGGTGGTGATGATGATGCTGATGTTGATGTTGATGCTGATGATGATGATGCTGATGATGATGATGATGATGATGATGATGATGATGATGATGATGATGCTGATGATGATGATGATGATGATGATGATGATGATGATGATGATGGCGGAACAACTTCTGAGGACGTCTCGAGCGAGGCGCGGGTTTCAGCATTCCCAATGGGGGGCCGCCAGGGGGTATTGCACGCCTCCGTTCGCGCAAAAATGGCGGGGATGTATCGAACGGGGTGCCTGTTTTGGTTCCAAACATCCTCCGATCTCTGAGCAGATTTGGAGGACGTCTCGAGCGAGGTGCTTCTTTTCGCACCCAAGAGAGAGCCGCCAGGGGGTATTGCACTCCTCCGTTCGCGCCAAAATGGCGGGGATGCTTGGAGCGGTTTGCCTGTTCTGGTTCCCAACATCTTCCGCTTTCGGAGCCGATTTGGAGGATGTCTCGAGCGAGGCGTTCACTCTCGCCCCCAAGTGGGGCCAGATTTGGAGGATGTCTTGAGCGGTTTGCTTATGTTGCTGGTCAGACGGAGGCTCCAGCAGGCTCCAGGAGGCAACAGGAGATACCAGGAGGTATCAGGACGCCACGGAAGGCCACATGAGGCCCCAGGATGCCCCAGGAGGCCCCAGGGGGCCCCAAGATGGCCCAGGAGGCCCCGAGAGGCCCCATGAGCAGGATGCATCAGAAGGCCACAGGAGAGGCCGCAATCCCATGTGTTTACGTATGCTCATATAGTTTGGGCTCCACCTGGAGCACGAATCCTTGGTATGTAAAGTATGTGTTTGTAGAGTGTCCTTCTCCTGTGTATCCAATCCCTAAGGTTTTACGCATGTTCCTATAGATTGGGCTTCCCATGTGTGCGCGAGGCCTTGGGTTTCTACGTGTGTTCATATACCTTGCCCTTCTCCTGCGGCTCCACTCCGAAGTGTCTTATGTACGTCTGTCCCTACAGATTGGGCCTCTCCTGGGACACGAATCCCGCCGAGGAGACCCCAGGAGGCTCCAAGAGGCTCCAGGAGGCCCCAGGAAGCCACACTAGGCCTCAGGAGGCCTCAGAGGGCCACAGGAAGCCCCAAGAGGCCCCAGGAGGCCCTAAGGGTCTCCAAGAGGCCACAGGAACCCCAGGAGGCCCCCGGAGGCCCCAGGCTCACGCGCCAAGACGCGCTCGTACTACTGAGACTGATCCACATTACAACTCATCCACACACATCTATATATATATGTATATATATATATATATATATATATATATTATAAACCTATACGACCACCCTTCGGGTGATAAGTAGGTTCGGGGGGGGGAGGAACCAACGTCTCACTCGATCGGTCTCACTATCGATCTCACTATCGATCTCACTATCGGTCTCGCTCGATCGATCTCATTCGATCGATCACACAATCGGTCTCACTCGATCTATTTATTTCGATCGATCTCACAATCGATCTGACTATCGATCTCACAATCGATCTCACTATCGATCTCACTATCGATCTCACTATCGATCTCACAGTCGGTCTAACTATCGATCTCACTGTCGATATCACAACCGATATCACAATCAACGCCATCATCATCATCAGCAACATCATCGTCATCAACGTCATCAACATCATCATCATCGTCAGTATCATCGGGACATCATCATCATCATCATCACATCATCACCATCATCATCAACGTAATCAACATCACTATCATCATGATCGGGACACCATCATCGTCACCATCATCCTCATCATCCTCATCATCAACATCATCATCATCATCATCGGGACACCATCATCATCATAACACCACCATCATCATCATCTCATCATGCTGACCATGAACAACATCATCAACATCATCATCATCACCATCATCGGGACACCATCATCATTAGCAACATCATCATCAACATCATCATCATCGGAACACCATCATCATCGTCACCATCATCATCACCACCATCATCATCAACATCATCGGGACACCATCATAATCATCATCATCAACATCAGCATCATCATCGCCATCATTGGGCCACCATCATCAAACTCATTATCATCATCACCTCATCATCATCCTCATCATCAACATCATCACCATCGGGACACCATCATCGTCATCCTCATCATTATCATCATCATCATCATCATCATCATCATCATCATCGGGACACCATCATCATCACCATCATCATCAACAGCATTATCATCAACCTTACCATCATCATCAGCATCATCATCGGGACACCATCATCATCATCTTCATCATCATCATCAGATCATCTGATCATCATCAACATCATCGGGATCATCATCATCATCATCATCATCGCGGCACCATCATCAGCATCAGCAACATTTTGATCAACATCATCATCATCATCATCATCATCATCATCATCATCGTCGGGGCACCATTATCATCATCTTCATCACCATCATCATCATCATCAACATCGTCAACATCATCATCATCATCATCATCATCATCGGGACACCATCATCATCACCACCATCACCATCACCATCACCATCATCATCATCATCATCATCATCATCATCATCATCATCATCATGATCAGCATCATCATCATCATCAGCATCATCATCATCATCATCATCATCATCATCATCATCATCATCGGGACACCGACGGGACAGCGGCGGGACACCGGCGGGGCACCGCGCGCCACCGGCCCCCGAGCGGGACACCGGCGGGACACCGCGGGGCACCGGTTGCCGGAAGGGAGACTTGGTTTGGCCGCGCCTCAGCTACAGGAGACTTATTTCTCGCCCGCCCACGCAGCTTCGCCTCGCCCGCACGCACGGCACGCACGAACACGAAACCGAAACCAATTCCCCGGTAGGAATGCTCTCCGTTCCACTTCGATCTCACCCCCTCACCTCCGATATATATATATATATATATATATATATATATTCACTCCAAGACCGTCGCTACTCAAGCCCGTTTATGTTCGAAAACTCTTGCGCATAGACGCTCACGGCGGACAGGTCCATGCTAACAGATGCACATCCGGGGAGCTCCACGCAGTGTATAGTTAGTCAGACGCCTCCTGCTCCTCCTCTTCTCCTCCGCCTCTCCTTTTCTCGTCTCCTCCGATCTGGATTTCCCCATAGTCAGATTTGCTCATGCTCAGACTGAGGATGATGATGCTGATGATGATGATGGTGATGATGATGATGATGATGACGACGACGACGATGATGATGATGATGCTGATGATGATGCTGATGACGACGATGATGATGACGATGATGTTGATGCTGATGATGATGATGATGATGATGATGGTGATGATGATGATGTTGATGAGGTTGATGCTGATGATG